CAGTGAATCTCTAGCGCCACTCCTCCCGACAGACACATATAAAAACAAACCTCTTTCTTGATATTTTGTATGCTGCCATTTTTAAAAGAAAGGTTAAACACAAATGTGTATTTCCTTAAAAGAACCCCATTTAGTAAACCAATATTATTTTTTACAGTTTTAACTGTATCAGCACTAAAAATTCAAGACGGCTCGGACAATTTCACGGCCGGACTCGTGGTCGGTCTCGCAGCCGTTCTCACGGCCAATCTCCAAATTCAGTGACCAAGGAATATCTCCCAAACTAATGAAAGCAGCTCGATAAAACTCGGAACAAGTATTCATTAGGACCTAATGGTGATGTTTAGCTTGTGAAAAAATTAAATTTCACCTTGATTCGGGAGCTATATGGCGATTTGGGCCGAAATTCGCAGTGATCAAATAATTTCTTCCAAACTACTGAACAGATTCGAACGAAATTTTGAATATATGTCATTAGATCCACTAAACCAATTTGGATACTTAAATCCCGATATAATCTTATAGAGAATAAATGAGTTCAACAAATATTGGAAGATACATAGAAAACCAAAAAAAAATTACCCCATAACAAATGAATCCTGCTTGTACTGAAGCTCCAATTACGTCGATAGATTTATTGTATACAGTTTGAAAGCATTGCTGTACACACGTTAATTTCCCATACGAGGCCGCTCCAGCCGAGCGGACCAGCTGGCAGGGCAAAGCCCGCGGCTATTATTTCTTTCCAAGAACACGGCGCCGCGGGTATGACATCGTCCGTAGATCCTATTAGCCCGAGGCAGAGCTAGACATTACCAATAGCAAGAGCTTAATTGTGCTAACATACAAAAAGGCAGACGCGAAGCGAACAATGCTAATATACAGAGAAGCAGATTCGAACCGTGATAATATACAGAACGGTAGACGCGAACATCGATAATATAAAAAAAACGCAGATTCGAAAAGTGATAATATACAGAACGCTAGACGCGAACAGAGTTAATATATAGAAACGCAGACGCGAACAGTGTTAATATACACAAAAGCAGATTCGAACATTGATAATTTACAGAACGGTAGACGCTAACAGCGATAATATAAAAAAAACTGACTAAAACAACGGTTATATTCAAAAAGTAACTCAAGATATGCGGCATAGAAATAAGTTCTAACCAGTGGGGTAAATAACAGACTAGCATAATATACAGAGAAACATCACAAACGACCGAAGGTGTACAACGCGCTGCAGCCTTAAGATGACATCAGCACGAGGACCGCGGCTCAAAAAATTCAAATCCAGCCATGGGTTACAACGAACGCGGACTTTCAGTGCTTCAATATGTTATTTTAATACGACGCAATATAGTAGCTGGTAAATACCAACTCTTCATAATTGATGAATGTTGAAATTGTAGGAGCAGTATTACTAAGAATATCCGAGAGAAGAGAAACGGAATATTTCGCATGCTTCCTTCCCAAGGTGAGAAACAAGGAAACAAATAACAAATTCAGCGCGCAGTAGCAAGAAGCACAGCTGCAGTGAGGGCTGCAGAGCTGGCAGCGGTACTCACGGGCAGGTGCAGTTAGGGCTGCATTTTCCTCGCTCATGATCAGGCTTCCAGGAGTTCGCTTACCTGCAAGTGGAACGGAAGAAAAATTGAATGCATGGCCCTCAAGCTTCCGAGAAAACAACAGAGAAGCCACAGCCACTTCAATGAGACTCACTCGTCAGGAAGTCAAGCACAATTTGACAGAGAGTGAGCTCTCTCACTATCACTAAGCTGGCTCACAAGCACACGCACAAGCAAGAGCCTGGCCCCATCCTGCTTCATTTCTTCCAATACTCACAAAATTGTCCTCACTGTTTTCTTTACTCTCAACCCGCGCAAACAACCAAAAGATCATATCAATCCGACTAACGCAAAGCGATAACTAAATCGAGAATATTCAATGTATCTTTTCATGAATTCTCTTTCAGGAATAATGAAATGTGAACAAATGCCAGAACAAAATAGAGGCACTAACAACTGAGTCTGAAAGCCCCTAACTATCCTACGCTACTAAACAATTAATTTATCAAGGACATGTTACTCCTCAACGTCGACCGTTATTGCCGAGTCATAACACTCGTCACGCCTTCACTACCACGGAAACTTAGATTAATTACTACCAGACGAGAGAATTACGTCAAGCCTCCGTTATCACCGGAAAAAAGATTGATTACTTTCAGGGGACCCTCTGGTCTACAGGGTCGCGAAGGCATTAACACGTTGACTACGAAGTGGTACATATGCGCACCACGAAATGTATTTCTCCAGGGCGTAGTGGTACATAATTCAGGTTGCCTAAAATTGGCCAAATCCGAGAACAAAAAAGGCCCAAAAAGGCCGATAACTCAAAATATACTAGTTTATTTGTAGTTTCCACTATAAAAATTCCATTTATTTTCTTTTAGCAGTATTTAAAATTTAATTAGGAAGTACGTACCCCTATCATAAATTTTAGCCGGCCAACGCAATTGAGAAAAACTAAATCACGGAATTTGTCCGGAAAAAATGACCGTCTGGCAACCCTGTTTAAAAACAGTANAGCAATCGGAGTCAACGTGTTCAGGGGGTCGCAACTATAACCTAGGGCTGCTGCGTGCAGGGATGTTTTGTTTCTCGGTGCTTTTAAAAAGACTTCAATTACACGACCATAACAAAGGCGTGCAAGCTGTTCAATTATATTATTAAACACCAGATTCAATCGAAAACTTTTCCAATTAGGAAGTTGACAAACAATTGTGGCGCTTTAGTCATTCACTCGTCTCTAACTGGAACTGATAACTTTGTATTACCCACATAACACAAACCTGTGGTCAGTCACTTGATCAGAAACCTATACATGTAATTGTACATCATTAACTTTAATTCAAATAAATATTTACTTTAATGTTCACATTAATGTTTATAATTTGAGCATGCAGCATTAGCTAGGCTCATACATCAGAAATATAACTCAGTACTCACTGCAGTGAGTGACAGTGCGCATTTTCTCGTCGACGAAAACTTGAGGTCACGGACGGACGGACGGACGGACGGACAGACAGACAGACGGACGGACATGGCGAACACAATAGTGCATTTTTTTCCATAAATGAGAAAATGCGCTAAAAAGTTCACTTATTACCTTCCGCATGCAAGAATAACAGAGCATGCGATGTACGTCCAATAAAGAAGGTTGCCTAGCCACGCCACTGCGTACCTGAGCTGCCGAGTGCGTTAGCCCCAGCCGAAGGGGAACCGTTGAGCTGTGAGGTCCCAAGCATGGCGGGGGAAGAAGGAAAGGATGAACACCCACCCTGAGGGGACAGGGGGAGCTTGGTGGGGGTGAGTGGTGGCAAAGGAGAAGCGTGCACCGAGTGGGACGAGTGAATCGAATGAGTGGGAGTCAATAGCGAGTGGGTGGGAGTGAGAGGAGAGGGAGTGTTAATGGAGTGAGCAGTGGAGGAATGTGAGTGTGCAGGGGTGTTGTGGAAGTTCCTGGAGGCAGGCACCCACGTGATGGGTGTGCAGGGAGACGAGGACTTGCAGCAGCTCCAGAGTCCTCGTAGGGGCCGGCCAGGGTGATAGTGACTCCTCAGACCGGCGTTCTCACACACAACTGTAAAAGGAAGCAATTATAGCTAAACTAACCCACGTAAATGCTAAGGCAGGAGTAACTGACAATGCTTCATCAGGTGTAGCTGACACAACTGCTACATCAGAAATACCTACTATGGGAGGCTGCGCAAATAGGGGTGAACAACTACTTCCTTTGCAGCAACTGCCTGAGGTCTCCTTCAGCCACTCTCGCCAAAACTGCATCAGTTCAACATCCCCGGCACCCACAGCTAAACTAACAACACCACTTCCGAATAAAATGAATCCTCCCAGCCTACCACCTACCGGAACCCTGAGTGTTCTCCAATTCAACTGTAACAGCATCCCGAAAAAATCTAACGAAATCTAACCTTAGCTACCTACTTACAGCATTCAAGTCACGGCTATCCAAGAAATGAAATTGAGTCTCAAAATCCAAAATTGGCCAAGTTTGTTGTCTATCAAAATGATCGGAAGACGGGACGAGGCGGGGATCAGATGATGCAGATCCACGATGGCATTTTCCAATCAATTCACTACAATACCAGAACATAATTGAATAAAAAGCTATCGCCATCAGGGCCAACAACACGAATCTGAACATCATTAAAGTCAGCATCTCACTCCAGATCTCCTGTCCTGCCAATCCACATCACACGCAAGCCGACTATCAGCCAACAAGGTCCCGATAATCACTTTCACGAACTTTTCTACAGCTGACCAGAAAAGATACAGTGCCAAAACCCAAGCCGCAACCACAACACTACTTCGGGCCGCCCAATCCACTCAAAACCTGGCTTCTCAGAAGATATCAAAAATCTCACCCAACAGCGAGACAATCTCCGTACTGCCGGCCCCACCTTCGACGACGCAGCAGCCCGCACGGCTGGTATCCACCTACTAGCCAACGGCCTCACAAATGCCCGGTAGAAACAATACCCCACCAGCTTCAACCACCACATCAATGTCAAGCACCTCTGGTCAACAAAAAAGGCTTTACCGGAAAGAAGAAACAGTACCCAAGCAACGTCTTTAACTTCAACGAAAAATCGATCTATGACAAAAAAATATAACTCAGTACTTACTGCAGTGAGTGACAGAGAGCGCATTTTCTCGTCACGACCAACGTTTTCATTCTTTCTTTCGTATAGCCAAAAATGCCGGATAACAAGTCCGCAAAAAGCATACCTCTGATCAAACCCCGTAAACCTGACGACACCAAATGCTGCCGGTTAATCTCATTGCTCTACCCGGCCATCGAAGTCCTGGAACAGTGCTTGCTGCCCATTGTCACTTACCACCTGCCTCTGGTCGACCACCAAAACTGCTTTTCACCCAAACACTTGACCACAGCCGTCACTTTCCTCATCACAAACATCATTTACGGTCTGAACCAGAAAAAGACCCGCTCACAGGAACATCCTCACTGCGCTGGTCCTCATCAAATCCTTCAACACTATCAACCACTGGATTCAGATCAACGACCTTCTTTCCTCCCCCTACATAAATTAGTCAATCGTTGGGTCCACACTATTTACACGGCCGTTCGGCTTCGACGCAGTTCTGCCAACAAGCCTCAAAACAGCGAATCATCCACACAGGTTTCCCACAAAGCTCAACTCTGTCGCGCGCCCTCTTCAAATTTTGCGTCTCCGAAGCACCTCAACCACAACAAAACATCAAAAACGTCTGCTATGCCGACGATTTCATCGTCTGCAACACCGGTAATCATGCTTACCTCGCCCAACAACTGTCTGTCGCAATTCAGCAATTTTTTCACCCACTGAAATCAGAAAATTTTAACCACCAAATCGACTGTTACTCTCATAACACGGTTTACACCACACACTGCCCAGGATAACTACTATTCTAAAGTCAAAATCAACAACAAACTCCTGCTCCAACAGAAACCGCAAATCCTTGGCCTAACCTTTGATACGACGTACCGCCCGCCACAAGACCACGGCAGCAAAAGCCTCAAATGGAACATGCTAAAGCCCTCACAGGAACATCGTACGGACAAAATAAGGAAATTCTATAAAAATCTAGAAAGCCCTTAGCCACCCAATGATCGACTATGCTTGCCCCATCTGAACACATACAACTTCATCCACCGACAGAACCCGCCTCCAAACAGCTTGAAATGCCGTTTTTAGAGCAGCTACAGGTCGACACAATATATGTACATAACAGCTGATAAACATCTCCACACTGAGTGTCAAATTCTCGCTGTTCAACAACACACCTTCTACCATGCTTAAATCCACAACATGCATGCCACCAAAACACAAGATTAAACCAATAACCCTACAACATAAAAGACATTGTACACCAAGTACACCAGCGTCATTCAGTCAACATCAACAATACAACCACAAGCAGCACCATCCTCCAGAACGCCGCCCGAGCTGCCATCAACTCGTGCTACGCAGCCATACTGGCCACCTCCACTTCCAACAATAGACTAATCACTCAGCGAGAAGGCCGTTGGCTTAACTTCCCACCGGTCATTGCATACCGGTACTTCTGAACAGTTACAAAAATACATTAAATAACAACATCCGTCACATATACAACTACCGTCATCTCATCCCAGATGATGTGCACCAGATCTTTAACTGCGATAGCAACACGACATCTCTCGATAATATAAGCCTTTGGAGAGACCCAGCTGCGGTCGCGCCTTGGCCCCTGCCTCGACTGGACCTGCGACACCGGAGCATGACGCAGGGCCTCAAAACTATTGTCAGGAAAAGCTGACAGCGACAGTGAGAAGGGGGTAAACAACAGGCAGCAGGGATAGGCGCGTGCAGTATGCGACAGATGCACAGCACGCGGCACACGTACAGCACGCGGCACACGCACAGCACGCAACACACGCACAGCACGCAACACACGCACAGCACGCAACACAGGCACAGCACGCAACACACGCACAGCACGCAACACACGCACAGCACGCAACACACGCACAGCACGCAACACACGCACAGCACGCAACACACGCACATGTGGCGGCCTCCACGTAGAGCGTGCAGCTCTCGGCACCATCGATGACGTGACCGACCTGCGATGGGGGGAGGCATGTGAGGCAGGGGCGAGGGGAGTATTAGGGGACGGGGAAAGGATAAAGGAGGGGAAACACGCTGAACCACGCCACTGCATCGTCATTTGCGGACGACACCAGGATACTAATGACCATAACGGACAGGAGGGATTGCGAGAGGTTGCAAGAAGACCTCTCTGCAATATATGACTGGGCCCAAGTGAACAACATGCAGTTCAACGGGACCAAGTTTGAGGTCCTGAGGTACAGAGGAACCGGAAGAGCTGGAATGGATCACCGCTACCTGGCACCTGACAACTCGGAAATCGAAGAGAAGCGACTCGTTCGCGATCTAGGAGTGTTGATGAACAATCAGATCAATTTCGGTGATCACATACCGGCAATAACCGCAAAAGGTAGACAACAGATGGGGTGGATCTGGCGGACGTTCAGAACGAGAGAAGCGGAACCGATGATCACACTCTTCAGAGCCCTTGTAATACCTATCCTTGAATACTGCTGCCAGCTCTGGACTCCGTTCACACTAGGCGCAATACGGCAACTGGAAGGAGTCCAACGAACCTTTACTTCCAGGATCAGAGGGATGGAGAATTTTAACTACTGGGGGAGGTTACAGCGACTGAATTTGTACTCACTGCAGAGGAGACGGGAGAGGTATGTCATTCTGTACACATGGAAAATGATAACCGGAATGGTGCCAAACTTCGAGAGCGAGACCTTCAAGATTCAGACATATCACAACGAGAGAAGGGGGAGACTGTGCAAGATCCCTCCCCTGCGTAACAGATCCGCAGTCAGATTTCAATCCCTGCGAGAAGGATCACTCTCCGTGGCAGGACCAAGGCTGTTCAACGCCCTACCAAGGGATCTAAGAGAGGGGGAGTTCACCCTGGAGACCTTCAAGAGACAGCTAGACGTGTTCCTGAGCACAATCCCAGATCGACCTCCCCTGCAACACTACCAGCGGCGAGAAGCAAGCAACAGCATCGTGCATCAGGTAGCCCAAATGAGGGCGGATGAACGATAATCAGAGGCGGCGATCCATCGTGGCCTGGGACTGCGACGTCCGAAACAAGTGCCAAGATTACCAAGAAAGGATATAGGAGGGGAAAGGATATAGGAGAGGAAATGATATAGGAGGGGAAAAGATATAGGAGGGGAAAGGATATAGGAGGGGAAAGGATATAGGAGAGAAATTATATAGGAGGGGAAAAGATATAGGGGGAGAGAGGATACATTAGGGAAAGGATATAGGATATTTTCTTGCTTCCGCAAAGAACCCCTGAATATTTTACAGTGCACTGAAGTACGTAATCACGTGGCAGTGATGCAAGCTCCCACTGCATAGCTAGCAGAGTGCTTACATCATGCAGAGAGTTAGCCCCAACTGAGCGTTGATCAAATAAATTGCAACACACTCATATATCTCTGCAATTACGTATAATGCAGCACACGCATGTGTTCTTTTTATACTATACAGACGATGCCTCTATTTTTATTTTTTATCATGTACCTAAATATGTTTTTCAATAAATATGGTGTCTTAATATTAATCATGTTAATAACTATTTTTAAAATAGGATTTGAAATCATCATTTCACTTCTTCAGGCAAACAGTAGACGTTGTCATCATAATAATCTACCAATACTTCAGTACCTATAGTACGTTTTGGTTATGTACATTTTCTAAATTAACAAATAATAATATTATATAGGGCAATTATAATTTGGTTTAGCAGCCGCTGCGTGAAGCAGCGTTGCCACGAACCTGGAAGACGTTGTCCCTGTCGAAGACGCTCTCGTCAACGCGCTCCACGCACTCCACGCTCGACAAGTCTACTCGACCTTTCTCCTTCTTACGTCCACTCTGAAAAAGTTCAAGCGAATTAGCACGTTGTCCTTGTATTTTGACATACAATTAATAATTTACCTTGCATTTATTCATGTGTACAAATACCGAAACGTAAACGAGTGGCTACACTTACATACCGCTGTTGTTTGAAGAGTAAATATTTAGGCGATGTCAGCAGGTAATGACGTTCGTCTGAGTAATTTTACAAGTTATTTCGAAGTCAACATACAATGGAGCGGCTACAGCAAGCCCTTCGCACATGATTCCAAGGCGGTTTGTAGCTAAAACTATTAAAGCTGCGATAAAGAGATGCCCAATTCACCCGTGTAAAATAATACTCCACGGATTCTACACCGAAAATTCAATTATTAGCACTGCAAGCCTAATAGAATTATCAACTTAATATTTGGCTTAAAAAAATTGTTTGACGCTATCATTACATGGGTCCTAAGTTCCGCCTTAGAGTCAGCGCACTGCAGTAGAGATTGAAACATTCCACGAGGGCAATGTTACCTACAACATCAGGGTTACTTGACCAGCGGTAGGGGCTAGCTTTTCCACATGAATTCTCAGGCCCATCAGCCAGCCGCTGTTTAGGATTGGAACAGAACTTGCCAATGACAGGCGTTAAAATCGCAGTCACATTATCTGTGAGCTTACGATCCACGTCGGGAGTTCTGAAGGCGTCGTAATATCAGCGACGTCGTGCGCCGCGCGCAATTGCTGCGGTAAGCAACTTTGGCAAATTTTGGTATCATTAGTAACTTGAAATTATTAATACCTCGACTATCGCAAACAACTAGTACCTATTGCTCAAACTCTATTGGAACATCAAGTCGGAATACTTACTTTAAAGAGAGAAATTGTAAATTTTTTTTAAACGAGCACCGCAATACTTCAATATATACTTCAATATATACATGACAAATTTAGAGACCAATTCCAAATCAGAAAATCACATCTTATTCCCGTCATACGAACTCGTTGAAATGTATGTTCGGTCATACAAGGAATTTTAAGCAGAGCGAATCAAAGACAGCACCAACTAGGCACAACAGCCTTTCACACAAGATCCTCATACAACCATCTTTCCCCATCTTTAAAGATAAGAGAAAGAAAGATGCTCCAAATTGATTATTCGCATGGAAGTAAAACCTCGATATGACACGGCGGGACCCAACATACGCAGGATGTGTTGCCGAAAACCAGCCCTCGATCTCAAGCCCTCACAACAATTTCGATACAGTCAAGCCGCTAGCTTAATACGCACCTTGTTCGTGGACTACGTTTATAGTATGGGTTCAGAGGATGTACAAGCTGAATGAATTGCTAAACCAGAGTAGCACTACGAGAGCTGTTCATTACTGACAAGTCGGTGCAATTTATGGCAAGGTTTGCGCTGCGTAAGACACCGCGGTGCTCACTCGGCCAAGGCGCAGTCGATACTGAGGGATGCGGCGTACAGAGAGGCACATGCAGTGATGGGGCGTACGCTTCACTTCAAATAATTCCTCGACGTAACCTTGTTAGATCAAGGACGACGAGGACTAAACGAATAATATATTAGAAGAAAATTGAAAAGAAACAATATCAGATCTTGAAAAGCTTCCTTTGCATCGACTATTATTCAGAAGATTCGACTAGAACTAACATTGACACGTTGAACATATTTCAAAAGCGAGTCACAATCATGAATGGAAACACTTGCGTGCCGATCACAATATAATTGAGTGAAGACAACACAGGCCTCCAGCAGAGGGCGGGACGCTAACTGTCAGCGCCCGCATGCACCGCAAGCAACAGTTGATGTGACCGCGCCACGCCGCACTGCCTCTCCAGCTTTTGTTTGATTAATATTACCTCCAGAATATTATACATTTAAATATTTTTACTTTGTTACTGAGCGAACATAAAGAACGAGGAAATAAGAAATCATTATGCTAGTACTAGAAAGAATGATAAATTTTAGATGTACTTGCTCTTGCAAAAGGTTACCAATTATGCACTGTATATGGTATAAGCACAAATCATTGTCGATGTATTTTAAAAAATAGGTAGTAATTACCGAGAGCTAATTTATTCCACAGTCTATTTACTATCATTATAATTATTGATTTCAATTTATTCACTTTTTCTCCCTTGCACCGATTATTTGACCACCACAATCAAACGCGATTAGAATCCAAAGACAAAGCACCGAGGCATCGCAATTCAAACTGTAATATGTTGCAGCAAGACAAAGATACATTGGCTAGTGTGGCACCTTTTGCTATTAACTTTTTGAAAAAATATGATCGTGAGTATACGCAAGTCAACGCACCAGACAAATGCTTTCATCTGCCTATTCATGTAAGCTTTAGCGACATCAATACAATAACCAAGTCACAAAACCAAGCAAAGAAGCACAAAAATGTAGCAGGTAAGAAGTATAAAGGGGACATTATGAGGGAAGTGGACGGGCACTTGAGGGCTCTTGCGAGCTCAAGAGTGATGGCAAGCGCGCGAGAAACAAAAGAGAATAAGAGACATGATGCAAGTGCAACACCGGCACTGACGGCTGCTTAGGGTGTAAAATATAGCATAAATACGTTATATAATGCGAATAGTTAGTCCTGATTGAAACAAAGATTGTGATTTTACAACATTTGCATTTCAAGCGCCGGTTCAGCACAACAAAAGGGATGAAAAGGTCAAGGTGATGTATCAATGATGTTACCTCAATTTCAATCATGGGTGAATTTCTGGGTTTGTCGCTCAGACTTCGAACTTATAGAGTAGAAATAATAACAATAACGTATTACCGGCTGATATTGAGCGCACAATGATACTTATAGTACATGAATTGAATAAAATGGTAAATTTGACATGAAGAGCGCCAGTCGATGCTGTGTAGTTCACTTGACAGTAACCTTTATAGAAATCGACAACTTTTTCATTTAGAAGTGTCGCTAGATATAATAAAAAGACGAATTAGCATTATTTCAGTGACCTTCAAAGTTTAAAATTATAAATCAAAATGAAACATACGTAATTAAAATCAGTATGAATAAAATCGCTAAGGACATCTCCATCTAATATACGTATATAATTATTTACCGAGATACACAATGAGTTGCACTGCTGACCTGTCGGTCGCCGTCGTAATAGATGATGTGCGCAGCCGTCAAAACGAACCACCGCTCCCGCCAGTTGGTGGGTCCGAAGCGACTTCTGTTCTGTGACCGCTTCACCATGAACGACTCCCTCAGGACTTCATCCGAAGTGTCTCCTCCGCCCTCAGCCGATGCCACAACCCCATAGGACCTGGGCTGGTCTTCGCTGATGACACTATCCGATGTCCTACGGCAAAGGTGGTCATTCCTACCAGCAGGAGCATCAATGCTGCCGCTTCTCCTGAAGTCTGTGGGTCTTCCCATAGCATCAGCGCTGTCAGTTCTCAGGTGATAGTTGCTTCTGTATGTGCTGTCGATGCTGCCGCTGCGAGGGTGCGGGTATTCGCCTCTCATGTTGTTAGGATCCATGTTACTTCCGCCGCGTAAGTGCGGCACGCTGTTGCGAGTGGCGTCTATACTGCCGTTCCTGTTGTGCAGGAAGTCGTTCCTAGTCGCGTCGATGCTGCCACTCCTTGCATGATGCAAGTCGTTTCTAGTCGTCTCTATGCTGCCACCCCTAAGATGCTGCAAGTCGTTTCTAGTCGTATCTATGCTGCCACTCCTTAGATGCTGCAAGTCATTTCTAGTCGTGTCTATGCTACCGCATCTTAGATGCTGCATATCATTTCTACTAGTGTCGATGCTGCCACTCCTGTGATGCGGATAATCATTTCGATTGGCATCAATGCTACCACTTCGGCTGTGGGGAAAATCTCGACGCATGTGGTCTACGCTAGGACTTCTGAGGAGAAGATCGGGACAAACGTCCCGACCACACATATTATTGGACATGGGGACGCTGGCGTCGTACATCCTGGAGTTTCCAGCGTTGTTATGGGCAGCATGATGGGGAGAACTGGGCACAGGAATACCGAGTCCCGGAATTGACGCTTCTCCGATGTTATTGGAGATCCCAAACGTTGGTTTGCTCACTAGTGAAGCTACGTGGTTCACAGATCCAGGTGAATTAGGTCCTCTGTACGCGCCACCTTCACTATAGTAAAACCCTGGATTATATCCAGTAGAAGTGGCGCTCACCGGCAGATGTGGTATCCCCAAATTACCAATGCCTCCACTACCACCGCTTTGTGAGCTGCTACTCACACTTGCTCGGTCGCTCAGACTACTACCACCATAGCTGCCCCGACTGCTACTACTTGTACTGCTCACAAAGCTGCCTCCGAGACCACTGTCATGCATGAACGAAGCGTCAGTTAGAGCTTGGTTCATGTGAGACTGAGACGGCAGTGAAACCAGGCCATTCCCAGGCATGGCATTACTTCCGATACTTCCGCTCATCACATCTGGTAGGAAGAAAATAACAGTTTTATTACAGGGCAAAATTAACGCATTTGTAAAATTTAATTGGTCACAAAATTACCACAATAGCCTATGAAGCAGCCTAAGTTTCAGTTAAGTATTCCAGCATTAGATATTTGCACTGGTAAAAATCCAGAATTCGTAAGGATCTAACTATGAGTTCTGACTGCTACTTGTCGCCAACAGTACACATCACACATTTGTCTACATTTATATAGCTCACATCATAATCTCTAATAAATGCTCTGCATGCTTCAAAGAAAGAATCAAATAAATGGAAGGTTTTTAAAGGTTTCTCAATAAAATTATCATATTTCCCTTAGGGCAATTCTCTCTATCCTAGAGACACTTCTAAGCCGAATCCAGATACATGATACACTAAAGAATAAATCAAAATGTACATTATTCCATTAATGCCAAGTGGTTCTATTTGGAACCAGCAGGAAAATGGATTAATAATGAAATTGTATGATCAAATAAATATACAAGTGGATGCATAGGTTTGATACACATCTTGTACATGTTCTGGCAATGTTTGGTTCTACTGTTAACTGAACTGATTATAAGATCCAGGGTCAGACAGGATGGTTTGATATCATAGTAGAGAAAGGTGAGTAATTTGTTCTAAAAATATATTATTTATGAGTTAGATACAGAATTTTATTGATTAAGTGAGTACCTTTAATGTCGTAAATGGTATTACGTGATATAATGTTTCTAAAGTCATCAAGATCATGAAATATTTAGCCCAGTTCAAAAGGGATTAAGCTATAATTTTTCACATAAAACGAAAAACAAATACTTCAGCACATTTTTATTTTTTACTGTCACAAGTGATAATATTTTCACCGGAAACAAAAAAAAAATTCAAAAAATAATTCTCGGCATTAATGGGTTAAAATGTACACACTAATTCAGGACAGTCTCTAGCTCATAATAACCACTTATTCTACTATTTTGTCAAACTTTCAATGTCTCAACAATCAAAGTTTAAATTTCCTCTTAGGACATTCAAACTCTAAAAGATTTGACTGATTGCCATTCCAATTTACCTTCAATATTTTTATAAAAAAGTTATAACTGATTCCACTATTTTTCCAAGAAATACCTTAACTAGAAATTGATCAGAAACACAAGTCTTTACAACCAATTTACCTTCACTATTTTTATAAAAAGTTATGACTGATTCCACATGTATATATTTTTCCAAGAAATACCTTAACTAGAAATTGATCAGAAACACAAGTCTTTACAATTCTTTGCCAGTGATAGCATCTAGTGGTTACATTAGACTATCTAATTTAATTTCAAGCATTTAATATCAACAAGAAAAGTAAACCTAATTCCAATATTATTTCAGGGGTGACAAACTTTTGTATCCTATTGAAAATTGAACAATCAAGTTAATTTAGAATATTGAACCAATAGGAACTCTAAAATTAACCAGCAACACCACAAAGCCTGAAATATAAGCAATGAGAAAACATGTACCAAAGTCATATCTGCCATTGGTTAAAAGGCAAGATAAAATTTGCCTTTTCGTAACAATAAATCAATTAAAGTTGTTAAGAAGGTTAAGAAAAAGGCTGAATACAAGATAGGTAGATGGGCAAAAGTGGAAAGGTTGTCCCAAAATGCTTCTGCTTCCACCGGACGATCCCACACTCGCCCATGTCACCTTGCTTCTCTGCTCCCATGGGTCATGTGGAGAGGCAAGCTAGGCGCCATAGGTACCTATTGCCTAGTCATACCTACAGTTTCAAGTAAGACTAGGAAATATGGCACTGGTCATTTGTCTTTCAAGTTGATGTTCTGACCCTATCAAAAATTGTAAATTAAATTTTCAGATTCTGTAATAACCTTTAATATTAATTTCAAGTTTATTCAACAGTGTTTGTTAAATATATTTGTTAGAAACTAGAAGAATATATTTGTATATATGTGATGTACCATACCGTACTGTACTAAAAGAATAAAATGACTAAAATACATGAATGGTTTGATATTAAACAAAGCCCAGAGCCAAAAGCAGTACATACAACTTCCAAATGTCTGAGACCACCTTGAATGTTTAAAAATTTACGGCCTTCACTAGTACAAACTCTTTTACTATGGGAATTTGCTAGTACATTCTCAAGCAAATCCATAATTGTGGCAATGCCAAGTTGTGCTTAGTTGTGAAAGAAATATGCAATAGGAAAAAATTCCTTGATACAACTTATAAGTAACTAAAGTAGAACTCAATATTATAATATTAACAATTAATGATAAGAGATTTTTTGTGAATACAGATGATGCATGAATGTAATACTAGTAAACGAGGAATATAATTATTGATTGGAGATTTGGTGCATCAGCCAGTCATGTAAAAAAATGAATTTCATTCATATATACCGTACATTTTCTTTTACTATCAATTTTACCAAGATTTCTAGAGGTAAACACAGATTGTTTTTATATTTTTTTCCTGAACATAAAATTAATAATTTATTAACACCTTATTGATGCTTCTTGTTGACCCCTTCTGAACAAATGTACATCTGGAATTCAGTCTTCCTTATTTCAATGGTTGTGTCACCATGTGAAGCATATAAGTCATAATAAGAAACATTCATGTACTGTGATTTCAAGGATAGTATTCTAGCTCCATATATATATTTGCTCTCCTCACATTTATTTGCACCCACATGCATGCATGCAGCTGCTATATCTACCCAAACTGTGAGTAAAGCAGCTCCAAAGTCACATCTTTTATCACACCAAAATCAGCATTTCATTTTTCCTTAGTACTTTAATTTGGTTTAAAGAAAATATTGTGGCTAGCCAATTGGTCATTCTATGAACTTGGTGAATGTCTGTGGTTCAGTAACACTTTTTTGCCAATCCTCCACTGTGACTGCAGCAAAAATGATTTGTTGGCAACCTCCTTGGCATTGTCAAGCCAGACACCAACAAAACTCTGCTTTTTATTTGACAGAAAAGTAAAAAATACATTTTCACAAGCAAAGTTGCATCAAAAGTGAAGAAAAATGTTCCAACTTGTAATTCTTAAAGAAAAATTAATGATTTAGCCTAGTATGTGGATGTGTCACAGCAAACAAGTTTGTGGCTGGGGTGCAGAACTGTGCTCATGCCAAAATATGCAGCAAAATGACAGCACCTGAAAAATTTCATTGACACTCTTGTAGTTGTGCTCATTTCAGACTACAATAAAACTGTGCTTTTCTCTCACAAAAATATAGAAATACATGTGAATGATGTGATCACATGCAAAATTACATCAAAAGAGGAGAAAATTATTGTTGTTGCTATTTTAAATTTAAAATAAGAGACTTGGTGTTATATGTATGTAATCATAGCTTGGCAAGGGGCTTTGCAGTTCAAAAAATGGCTTCCCATGACAAGGAAAATAAATTTACAGCTGAGAATCTATGAATTTATGGCTCTGCCTCAGAATGTAGATATTGTGACACTAGAGTGCATGAAGGCAAAGAAGAGACTAAGTAGTTGCACTTCTATTCTGATTCTTATGAGTAGAACCATGAAGTATTGTGGATATTAGCACTCTTGCATATAAGATATTAGATAAAATATTGGAGTAGATCAGGAAATAAAAAGTAAACATCAACTAAAGTCTCATCTATCAACAGAATCTATCAAAAAAATGTACTGTATATATCTCATATCTGTAGCAAATTTCTACATTAGAATGCTATTGCAGCTATTCATAACTGCAATATCAACATAAAACTTTTACTGCTATTTTAGCAAAGTTTGCTACAATATCAAGTCAATCCCGGATTCTTCGCTAATTAAGAGATTTGGATTTTAGAAATTAGATTTGGATTTTAGAAATTATCAAATCTGAAAGACCACAAGCACACACAGTAAGGTTTCCAGTGCACCGGATTGATCAGGATGCAGTGAAGCTTGTAAAGAAATCAGTTGCATATTAAAAATTACCAGGCAACGCATCCTGAAAATGGCTGGTGACGCTTTGGGCTAAAAATCCATATCTTGGCAGTAGGCAGTTGGCATTGCTACTTAGTGCTTGCAGTCTTGCACAATGCACCCTCTGCACCCTGGCAATATGATACTGATTACTGATAGATTATTGATAATTCATAGGTGTAGGTACATAAACATAATCATTTAAAATCCCAGCTATAGAGCAAATAGAGAATTCTTTGTTGCCCTTAGGTTCAATTTCGAGTTCTATAAGTAGACTAGCACTACTTAAGTATCATAGATACCAAGCTACCAGCATTATCATACATATGATATTGGTTGAAAACTTGAAATCTCAAGTAAACAAGAAAATTAAAAATGGTAATACTTTAGATTAAGTGCATCCAAATAAAGGGTTTTTTTTTTAATTATGTTTTTTGAGGCATAGTGACAAACAAGAGATTTTTTAGAATCAGTTCATTTTTAATTTCCTCATTTACTCAAGATTTTAACCAATTTCTTAAGTATGATAATTCTGGTATCCATGATACTTTACTGGTCTACTTATAGGACTCAAAAATGAACTTGAGACAGAGTCTAAAAAACTCTCTGCTTTGCCACTATGTTTTGAGGTGTAGATCAAGAATCTGAAATCCGTTTTTGGCGGTTGGCATCGGAAATTTTTAATGGAACCTGTTCCTAACTGGACCTAACCTCAGTAACCTGCGAGGTTTTCGTTGATTGGCTAGGTTTTTCCGGCTGCCGGATGGACTCCAAACATAAAAAACCTATTGGCTAGGTTTTCCGGCCGCTGGACGGACTCCAAACATAGAAAAAACCTAGCCAATCAACAAAAACCTTGCAGGTTAGGTCCAGTTAGGAATAGGTTCCATTAAAAATTTCCGATGCTGACCACCAAAAATGGATTTCAGATTCTTAATCTACACCCCAAAAAACATATAACTAAAAATAAATAACACCCTTTTTTGGATGCACTTAATCTAAAGTAATTAATTAATTGATTCTAATATAGGGCCTATTTCTGGTTTGCCACTATGGTCAGGCAGGTCAGCCTATTACCTATAAATAATAGGTATCCTAAATTTCACTGACCCAAATGGCCAAATCATCAATATTCAAAAAATTTTCCACATTTTAGAGGATCCTACAAAGGAGTGAAGATTCCAGAGGATTTCAGAGGAGTGAAGAATCAGAAACGACAGAATAGAAGAGACTGAGAGTAGAGACTGCCGCGGCACCAATTGTAGGACAGTAGGAGGGCCGAGGGAGGAGGCAATAATAATTTGTATGTTGCTGCTTAATTTACTTTAAAAATATTTTTCATCAAGTCAATTCAAGCATGTTTTCATGACCATATGGATATAAAATGGCTTTAAAAAATTTGTTTCAGAAAGACAAACTCCCAGTTTAATTCCCACCTGTTTATGCTTGTATACCATCTGAAAACCTGGATATCTTTTAGAAGAGAGAATTGCACCGATTTTCATCACGATGTAAACACTCGGATGTTTGTAGGTAGCCTACATGATTTTGACCTACGCGGTAATCGCGATTCGTGACTTGATTACATCTGCGAGTACGACTGAAGTCTTGTCACTTTTCTGCCAACGAGTAACGTCTTCGTAAAGTCAGGTGCCGGGAGTTCATTCAGTTTTCAGGATTTAATATAACTATATATCACGGCAGTAAAAGTTCAAGGATCATATCAGCTTTGCCCACAACTCAAATTTACTGAGAAGAAATAACTAATAGAGTAACTTTTCGATTATCTCACTACGCTCAACATTTCTTGGAACACACGGTAGAAAATAACACCTGTTGCTCCAGCGAACAATAGCAACTCCATTCATAACAACAAGTTCTGTAGCCGACATCACTAGGTTTAACCTCTGAAAACTGAAGTCATTTTTTTTATCACCTATCGTTTGCATTAATATTATTATTTTTATCGTTGCATTATTCATCACTTATCGCTTTCATTGTTATTATTATTATTTATTATCTATCTAGAAAAAACTCTGATCCATTGGAGTACATTTCCCTCTATTCCCAAAGACTTCAATATGGACTAGGTAGAGGTTAGTGGTGCAGGATATACCGGAAATAAAGCCATGTTGATAGTCTGATAAGAGATGGTCAACGGTCAAGTGATCGATAATCCTGTCCCTCAACAGATTCCATTACCTTTCAAATAACACTAGTCAGACTGACAGGGCGATAGTTACCGGGGCTACTCTTGTCGCCTTTTTTGAACAACGGTGTCACTTGAGCTTCTTTGTTCAAGGTTTCATTGAAGAACCCTGTCAAAGGACTGCTGGCCAGGAAACCCTGTCAAAGGGCTGGCTAATTAATTTAACAATCTAGAGTAGAAGCCGTCTGGTCCACATGACTTGATGGAATTCAGAGCGACCAGGCTCTTGGGAACCTATACATTTTATATTTTCGGCCCCACCTCTCGTGCCTCAGATTTAAGAATTTTAGAATCATGGCATATTTTCAATCGGGGACTCTGCCTTAAAAAGGCAAACAGTTCTTATCCGCTATAAATTGATGTTAGATTGATGTTTACGTTCGTTGATCAGTTCTTTCGTTATTTCGGTAATTTTATTTTCGCCCAAATTTAGCTTACGTTATTTATATTACTTGCTTAAAATTATTTGAAGTGATGAAGGTGCTGTTCTCCGGAACGTTCTCAATGCAGACATAGTGAGTTTGGTCGGCGTTTACTTTGCTTTGAAATTACTGGCCGACTAGCGATTTCAGCAACATACTGTATAAGAGTTATTCTATCCAACATCAAGAGGTGAAATACTGAAGTAGATAAACCTCTTCATCGGCTATGGGGCGACGATTACATTGCAAGTCATCGAACGATTCACATGTATAAAGAATGTACAAAATTGCTTTCTAGACAGCGATTTCATCCCGGGATTCAAATGATATATTTTCCTGTAAAGAATCATCGCAATACACTCATACATGCAGTGACAGAAAAAGAAGGCAAAGAGCCCTTAAATTTGATAGGTCGGAATAAGTTAAGAGTATCGGGGTAAAAATCTAAATGCAATTACCATTGATGTAAGAACTTTCGGCAACTATCTGAATGCTTGCGAGGGATTTTAAATAAAGGGTTCAAAAGTATTATATATTGATTGATACATTAGTCATTCATGTACGTGCAAACAGATGCTGAATACTGACTACCGCATGAATAAAGGAAATATAAGACCGGAATTAAAAATCAAGCCAAAATTGCACTTATCCGGTAATATGACATGGATTCATAATCGATACATTTTAACGCTAGCCAACAAACTCAACCAGCCTCACCATGCACGTATACCTTTTCACAACTGTAGTTTACTTATTTTTCATGACAAATTCAAATGCAAGAGATATTTTCTCTTCCATAACCACAAAAAAATCGACCAGTTACCCTAGTGAGTAATCTACAACATTTTGAGTAGAGCTGGCAAAAAGTCTCCCAGTGAGTGTGCAAAATTATTTAATATAACTCATCACGGAAACATCACTGCTTTATTTTTCCATCACTTAGACTTACATTCATTAATGCCTCACTCTAAATTAAACTTAAAACAAAAAATGTCAAGGTTAATATGAAACGCGTTCCCCACATCATATTTCACTTGGTGCCTTGACAGAAGTTAAACTCGAATTCAAATTTAATATTTGAATTCAATTAGGCCAGCTGCCGCAGCTGCAGTGCCGGCTCGTAAAGTGGTGATAAGATTGACAGAACTTTATAATCGATATGGAGAAAGATGATCAAGTCCAACATGAAGTGCTATAAACATGTGTTAAGTCCAGCGTTAAAAAACGATATTGTAAGAATTGAACGACGGAGAAAAATACAGAACCGAATAGGAATGTAATCCATTTGACAAAGGCTTCAATGTTGACCGAATTTGAATAGTTGTCTATTCCATGTAATCCAATCAGAAATTGTATGGAAGACGAAGTATTTTGTAGGTTAATCAAGACTTGAAAATTGGTAATTAAAAAAATTATCGGCTTCGGCACATAATTCCGTTTCCCAGATCGCATCTACGTAGCTAACAGGCTGAAGCCCAAAGTCAAACGACGCGTCAATGTCAGCCGTCGATGTAGTTTACTTTGCTTTTCTTACAAACAAGGCGGAAAGCAGAGAAAAGAACATAACGTAATATTTAAGATGCTATAGCGCATAGTTTGCCGACACTGAACTAAGTCAATAGTTTGGTACCCAATAATATATGAAGCAGGTAGGCGCTCCCCCCATGAATGCTAATGCTCAGAGTATGTGCACACCAACCCATAAAAGCTATAAATTAATGAACCGACAGTCTTTTTGGCGAGACATCTGTTGTTTAACCCTGGTGTGCTAATATTTGATCGTTATTAATTGCAGACATAGTGGCAATTTAATTATTTAAAACCTAATTAAGATATAGTTTCACAAAACAATAGGAATAGTGCTGCCGACCAGCGTTGTGCGTTGGGTCTATTAGGGCAGCCTCAAACGCATTCAGTTTTGATATCCAATGCAACAGACACTAAAATTCAAAAGTTCGGTTAGTTATCGTTTCGATAAAAGCTAATAAATTTTGAGCAATTTTAGGTGACTCGACCTGAATCAATGTTCACTTGATTGACATCTAGTATGACAGGAAAAATTTAACACATCGTAACAAAAATGATAAATTCAGTTATCAATGAATAGAAACCGTTAAGCCTGTCAAAGAGCATTTAAAAATCTACGGTGGTTGCGACAATAAGAGTAAATGGCATGTTTGCTAATCATAGTTTATCCTCGACATTATCACAGGAGGAACCATCACAAGTAACACGAATACCTACTACATCGTCAACAGGTATCTTGTAGTTATCGAAGGTGCTGCACATAAACATCTTCACATCACAGCCTAAAAGCTCACATGTTTGCGAGGCTTATCAACTTGTGCTATTGCAAAAGCAGACCAAGTAGATCCAGTTTCAATATTAAGATTGGTATCAATCGTACGTCAAAATCAACGAGGTAACTCGGAATAGGATTTTACTCCTAGAATTGCAGTCTCACTGTCTCCAAACACTGAATACAGAATTTTAGCAACGCACCCAGAAGTACTTTATCTTAAATAGAATAAACAGCGCATTTATGCTAATTTCAAGATAGGATTTCATAGAATGATCCAGATGAATATTGATTACAAAGGAGATATTGGTGCAGCTAGAGCCGCAAGGCTCCTTTGCTTGTACTGTGTTTTCAAAATGGATTACACTTTCATGATATACGCGGGACAGAGACGTCGACCGACTCCCACTACTCGTAAGGCTGTACAGTCTTGAAACACTAGACACGTGGGTGCCAGGCTGTGAATTTCTTAATGGTATTTTCAACTTTGTTCCTGAGATGACACAGGACGACGCTGCTCCTACTTCAAGTGAGGTCGAGGAGAATTGGGATGTGCTGGCGCAGCAGCTGTGGCCAAGGTGGCAGTTATGGTGCTAGTGACAAGGGAAGAATCTGATCCGATTGAATTTACATTAGTATGTGTCCCTGCTTTAATTCAATGGAGATTTTCAAGGATAATTATGTTGCTGTCGAATGATTCTGAAATCTTGGGCAAAGATTCTGTCACCGTTAGGTTCAAAACTCCATCAATTAGACCCACAGATTTGGCCACAACTTCGGGTTCGTGATCATTTTTTTGCCTGAGTGATTTGGCTTTAATTTGATCTAAATTATCAAGTGGATTGATACTTGGGAGGCTAAAACTTTTCAACGCTTTATTTTTAGCGTTGCTTCTTCGACACTCCCGCCCGAGACTCTCGTCGTGATCATGTTGACACAAAGCGTTCATGCCAGACGCAGGTTCCATTCTTTGCTCCAAGGTGTCGATACACAGGAGCGGAGTCCCAACCTGCACTTTCAACAGCTTTCGCACGTTGGAAACCTCATTATGAGCCATTAATTTGTGCTTTTTCAGACCTGATAATCGTTTGTACTTATTCCCGCAGTGACATTTGTAAGGCTTATTATCAGAGTGTCTTTGCATGTGACGCACAAGAGTAGACCGGGTCTTGAAGGCTGAACAACAGTGCGAACAATTGAACTTCTTCTCAGTGGAATGAACAAAGGCATGATGATCCTGCAGATTGAGGAGCGACATGAACGCCTTCCCGCATGCCTCACAAACAAATCGGCGCCGGTTGAAATGTGTGTCAAGATGTCGTTTCATAGAGAATTTATTCTTTGTCGAGTAGTCACATAAACTGCACGAGTAACTTGGCTTTCTGCAATTATCTTGTGCTTTACAAAACTTCCTAAATTCTCCCATCGACTTCATCGTTTGATTTACATTTTTATTCACGTTAATCGAGCTTCTCGCATCGTCTCGCCGCAGACCGTTGCCAGATTCAGGTTCAGAGGATTTACGCTTCGAAACGGTTTGGTTCCAAGCCGAGAGAGTTGTACTCGACGTATCATTAATCGGGTGCTGTTGGCTTCCATGCAAGATGTCAACTTTCCTCTTCTGGGAACCCAGTGTCAACGAGACATGCCGATCAGGAAATTCCTTATTGAAACCATCATCCAACTCAGCAGAAACGTTCGGATAGTTCTTGTTTTCAATATTTTTGTTCGCGTTATAACTGCAAACTTTAGAATTAACGCTTTTGACTTCATTTGGTAAGTGGTCGTTTCCTTCACTAGAGGCCAGATTGGGAGGCGCACAAATAGATTCAAAGTGTTTCGTTTTGCATGAAGTTGAATTTTCTTCGCTGCTCGCCCCGACGGCCGTGCTCTTCGTTTTCGGACGCGTCTCAGCGTCGCCTTGAAGACATTCTCGCTCAATGCCTCCATCGTCTAAGACTGCTTGCGTCTCGCAAGTGTCATGCAGGGCAGGCTTGTTTCTCTGGGGTATTTTTGCTTCGTTAAGTTGTTGTGTACTAGGCCGAGATAAGGAGTGATGCGTTGACAGCAGATGCTTGCGGTAGCCGCTGCGGGTGGCGAAGGTCTTGCTGCATGGTTCACATCTGAACGCCAGTTCACCTGAAACTAGAAAATATTGCCAGTATTAGCCATCACAAGTTATAATTGTGTTATTGTGAAGTATGTGTAAAACTGTCAACATGAACCCTCGTGCACAACTGAATAAAAACAGCAATCAATCAAGTTCGTACGCAGTGCAGAGCACAAGCCATTCGTGTTCCGCGTGCAGTCACAATACATAAAAATTCGTAGAAAAGAAATCGTAATCAGAGCGAGAAGACCAAAAAATTCATTCAATAATCTGAAGTGAGTGCTCGAGAAACTCAGACTGAGCGATGGTAATTTCAATAACAGAATGAAAAATTATATAAAACAATGAAGGCAAACCCTACAAAGTACATACTGCAAAGAAAATCAGGCTCGTCAACATTGGAAAAACTTTTTTTAAAAATAAATTAATCGCATTTACTTCAGGAAAAAAAAAAAAAAGAGGTTCAAACATGAACAAACGAAAAAAAAATTGGAAGGAAAATGTGAGACACATAAAATGAACAATATTTATGAGACACGACCCAATATATATGCACTGTTAAATATACTAAATATACAAATAATTTTTCCCACCGGAATGCGAGGCAAGATGCTCCCTGAGAAGCGAGGGGCGGCCAAATACGCGCGGGCAGCTGGGGCACGGGTGGGCTCGGCTGTACACGTGCGCGGGCGCGCGGAACTTCGAGCGACCAGCCGGCGCTGCGCGGTCAAGGTTTGCTACCTTAATATGGCTCCCTTTGACAGATTTTAATTGTTCTTTGGGTTTCAAATCGGAAATTTGTAAAGACTCGTCAAGACCCTGAGTCAAGTTACAAGTTGTGTCGTTAGACGGAGCAGCGGTGATTGGAGTGAAGCGTGCGAGTCGCAACTCTTTGCAGCAGGACGAGGACGCTGGACGATGTTGCCTCGAGACGAGGTCGTTCGAGTGACATCTTCCTTCTTGCAAGGCAGGGCTAACACTGAGGCTGGGAAAGTCATTCTGGGATAAGCATAAGATAACATTTTGTGCCGCAGTAGCGCTATCACTAGAAGGGACATCAGCGTTCACCGTGTGACATCCAACACTACATTCCTGCGCTGCAATCAACGTACGACAGAAATCCGCGTCTGAGCTTGGACTGGAGGAGTTTGCTTTTGTTTCTTCATGCTTGAGATGAGCGTGGCTTTGAATAAAGCTTTTGTGGAAGCTTGAAGATACCTTAGTTTTCATGAAAGTTTCAACACAAGAACAAGTGTTCTCCATGCAGGAAGTACTGTCGCATTTAGTATCATTATCATCGGTGCCATCCAATATACCTTGAGTGTCTTTCAGAATATAAACTTCATCAGTATCACTTCCCTGCAAGACATCAGTCTCGGCAACAACCCCACCACACTCGGTATCCGTGCAGTCAATGGATATTTTTGCTGCGTCATTTTCAGATTTAACAGTTTTAGGTATTCGCTCTTTAAACGCTCTACGTGTGCGTTCATTATCACCCTGAACATTTTCCTGAGAACTGTACCTGTCATCTTGTAATTGAGCACGGGTAGCTTCTGGAACTGGAGTTTTATTTGTCCTCTGGACGTAACTTCGAGAAGCAGCATCGGCTGAAGCAGAGCCGTCGCGGTCGTGCGCACGATGCGCGACGCGGCAGTGGGCGAGGAGTTGCTTGCTGCTACTGCATGCCGCCCCACATTCAGGGCACGCGTTACGTTCGTGGCCCTGCACAAGTTGAACTTCAACTATCAGTGACAACTCAACTTCCAAGAAGAGACTGTGATATGAGTTAACTAAAAATTAATTAATTAATGGTGAACCTTCGATGTAACAGATATAAAGAGAGCTAATAATGTCAGTGGGTCGGGGTAAAGATAATTAACGTATTACCTACATCAATTTATAGAAGAAAAGTTTCACTACCCGACCTTGCATGTTAACAAAATTCCTGGGTCATTAAGAACCTCGAAAAATATACCTAATTGATTGGAAAAATTAAACCAATTTAACAAACATAAAGAAAGAAGGCAGCCTACAAATCCCAAAAAGACCAAGAGTGTACAACAATGGTATTTTGACCGACAGTTGAGACCAAATGCTAATTTCTTGTACGGACAATTTATATCAGAGGTCCTCAACCAACATTTTAAAAGTTCCCATTGGAAAGAATTTTTGAAGTAAAAATCCGAATTATCATAATGGCTGAGTTTTTTGTGATACAGAATTAGTTGGCTGTGATTTAGGATCAATTAGTAACAGCTTCACGGCCGGCCTCTGTCCGGCCGGCCTCTGACAGTGTCTGCAAACCTATAAAAAATATAACTCAGTACTCACTGCAGTGAGTGACTGACAGAGAGCGCCTTTTCTCGTCGACGAAAACGTGAAGTCACGGACGGACAGACGGACGGACGGACAGACAGAGGGACGGACAGACGGACATGGCGAGCACAAGAGTGCATTTTTTTCATAAATGAGAAAATGCGCTAAAAACTACGATTTGGTTGGTTCTGTTTGATATCTTGCCTTAAATCAGATTGAAGAGCAAGATAATATTTATTAGCAACCTTGAGGTGTCTGAGAAGAGGTTGCCGGCGGCTGAAGAAGGCGTTGCAGAGGCTGCAGGGAAGCTTCTTGTTGCAGTGATCCTGCAGGTGCTGTCGCAGCGCTGCAGCACTCGCGAGCTCAGCTCCACACTTAGGACACATGTGCTGAAGAAGCTCTAACTTAATCTTAAATTCTCGAGAAAAAATCTCACATCATCAACTAATCGGAAAAAATTGATGCACAACGCAAGTAAAAATTATAAAATACTAGTTTACAAATTTAGAAATTTGTAAGCACAAAAGCAGTCATAAGAGAAAAATCAGATTTAGAAGTTGCACAATTCGCAGATTGCGAATAATGTTAGCCTGAACTTGAATGATAAATAGCAATACACAAAAATATTCCATGCTAAGGAAAAACATCTCTACATAAGACACATGTAAGATTACTTTGATTTAAACGATATTGATTGCATCCATTTGTAGCTTACATAGTGTTTGATACTGAACCTAACTCTACTGAACTCTTACCTAAGTTGAACAATCAGCGAGGTTTTTAAGCGTGCCTAGATTGTGCACTAATTACGTTATATGGCAACTGGCAATATTCCAGGATTAAGATCAAGTGAAATTATCTGATATGATGTTATGACTAACTACACAGACGAGCCTATAGAAGCTTCCGTGCACCGTCAGTGCCCTGCTGACGATATTTTTCTAAAGAGCAGAGCACCTTATTTGGCTTACACAATAAACAATATACAAATAATGCAGTTAAATAAACAATATGGTAGAGTAGCTACCGTGCCATGACGCGTGTGGAGCTTGGCGGTATGGGCGTGCAGAAGAACGCGTTTGGTGAAGGAACGACAGCAGTGCTGACAGTCGTAGGTCTTAGCGCTGAGCTGGGCACCGTGACTCACGAGGCTATGGGCACGCAAGGCTTTCCACGAGCTGAAGCTCGACGAACACAGCCTGCATTTGTTGTTGTCGTGGCCACGTGTATGCCGTACGTACGATACCTTAAGTGGAAAAAGAAGCTGAATTATTGATTAATAAAGCAAGTTATATTCTTGTTATGAGCGCAATACGTAAATTAACTGAAGTCTTATAGAAAACGTTCGTACACCTTTCCTACAGTATGACTCGAATCGTAATGAACTAATAGAGAACGATGACAGTGAATGATGAATAAACTGACTCTTGGCATCATACATAAAAGTAAAAACATGATAATATTTGGAAATAATTGAATGGATGAATCTGTGTTGACGAAATACACACAACATAACGCCAAAAACTATGTACCCACCTTTTGAGCAAATTCAGAGCCGCAAATTTGGCAGATGTAAGTCGGTCTAGTGGTACGTTTTAAGGACTTCGTACTAGATATTGAAGACTTCAAAGCAGAAGCTATTTCCTTGTCGAGACCGTGATGCGATTTGATGTTTCTTTCACGCACTATTCTTGTCCTTGATTCGATGCTATCCGGTAAGCGGATTCTATTTATTTTATTGAGTCGTATACCTTTAGATCGACGAACCTCATCCGTAAAAACACGCGTCGCTGCGCCATTACTGTTCGCACCAGCTTGAACTTCGACGAAGGGTGAAATAGCGTGAGATTTCAACGATTTGTTGGAGATATCTTTTGGTGGCTCTGAAGGTGAGGAGGAAGCCAAAAGCGGCAGGTTTGTATTAGCAAACTCCTTGGACAAAGGATCGGTAGGAGTAGTGGGGATACAACGAACAACATCCGTCGATTGCAGAGGAGCTTTAGAAAAGCTGGGAAGCTTCAGTTGAGAAGAAAAGTCACTTTGTGGGATCGTTAATGTGGGAGACGTTGCGAACTTTTTGACACTTTCGGGAACGATAGATTCAAAAGAAAATTCGGCAAAGGAAATAGCTTCATTGCTTTGGGGGGTTTGAGCTGAACTGTCTTCCAAAGTAACAGAGTATTCAGGTAACGGACAAGCTTCACAGTTCAGGCTTTTTACGGGGGGATTCAAGACAGGCGGGAGAGATAAGTCGTACACGACGTCCTGAGAACCGAACTCTACAATCTCAGCCGATTCGTTGGCATTCTCAGGATCATCTCTTGACAAACGCGGAATTTTCCTTTTCACGCATTTGCGATGCATAGATTCGCAATTACTAACGTGGTGGTCTGGGATATCATCTTCAGCAGCAGTTTTGCAAGAACAAGTGTCATTGATCAAGATGTACTCATAGGTACCATTGACCAAAGATTGGTAGCTAGGAAGGTTGCAGGAATGAGAGGGATCAGTATGGACGTATTTCCTGTGATTCATATCAATGGAATCAGCACTGTCGTTAACGACACATCTCGCTTTATCGGTATGAGACAGGGAAAGGTCAGTAGGCTCGCTACCATCTAGCGATTGTCTCCCCTCCGCAACTCCATGGAGCACGTCGCTAAATTCTGGTATTATGCTTCCATCACCCTTGATATCCAAGTCATGTTCAACCGAGAGGTCTGTGGGCGCATCTTCCTCAATGAGCTTATCGGGCCTGCCTTGCATTGAGTAATCAAGAACTTCACTGAAATCTGAGGGCAAGTCGAAATGCGATGTAGTCAACACGTCATTCAGATAACAATCGCGGGTGTTCTGGTTGAAGCCGAGCACCCGCAGGCTGTGGTCCAGTAGCTGCGTTGCCCGGTACGTGTAGCTCGGGCCTCCCGCCTGTTCACAACCTTCGTTTTCCCGACTATCAAGAAGTGTTCGCCTGCACATTTTCTCAGCATCAGTCAAACCAAAATTATCATTTATATTCTCCGCGAAAATTAAAGCCTGTTGCTGAAGATGCCACTGTTGCTGCTCTTTTAAACTTGAAAAAGATTTTTCCAGTGTTTCTGTAGCTTCTCTGAGGTCGCGCGCCATGCTGAACTTGTCCAAAGCGAGGGGCGAGGGATGTATAGAACAATCAATTTCATCCTGACTCTTCGAATTGGTGTCCACAGGAAAAGTTCTTGCATTCGGCACTCCAATATTCAGCACGCAGCTCGTTGTTGAAGGCAAAGAGGATGCGACGGAAGTTGAAATCGCGCCTCGGCCCTCTGCCTGTTCCAAAGTCGCGCATGCAACCGTCATCAAACCTCCATTCTCGATTTGTGGAATTCTTGACGCGCTTGGTGCAGCACACTCTTGCGCTTGTGATAGAGAGCTTTGAATCTGTGAAACGCTCGCTTCTTGTTGTACTCTGCAACTTTGAGCTTGCAGATGTCCACAACTGGGATGGTTGACATCATTTGATGATGGGATTTGGCATACCACTGACTGTAACGATTCGTGATATTGTAATGATATCGATGACGGTTGCTGTAGCGGCACAGCTTTAGGGAAAGAACGTTGAGCTTGTTGTGGTATAGAAGAACCTTGGACATGTGCATGTAAAGTTTCTGTTCGTGGGCTGCACTCTTGTGATAATGATACCGATGCTTGTTGATATGTCTCGTTATCAATAGGCTTTTCCTTGCTATCTTTTTCATTCTTGATGGAGACTGCAGCTGATTGAGTTGCTTCAGCTTTTCTCTCAGCATTATTATCTTTTGATGATGCCTGTTGACGCGTGCCTGATGATGTAGAAACTTCCATAGACGCTTGTCCCTCTGGTTTGAGTGATACTGTTTGTAACTCGCCCATTTCGAGTCCAACAGAGAAAGTTTCTGAATTCGTTCTTGAGAAAACTCGCACCGACTCCGATGGTACTTCACTAGGCTTGAGTACCGCCGGCTTGAGTCGCTCGCCGACATTTCTAGCTTTTGGAACATTGCATATCTCTTCCCATAATGGTCTCTTCTCTTGCAGTTGTGCTTTAGCTTCTTGGAATGATACGAATGCTTTCGTAAGTGCAGGACACGCTTGCGGTCGTGGAAAGACTTCCGACGACTGTGGAAGCAATATTGTACCAGGTTTGTGGTGTTCAGACCAATTGTGCTGTACGTCATCGTCTATGTTTTGATGGGCAAGCTCTAAAGATGTCACTGACTCACTGCTTTCTCCTGTCCCCAAAGCAACTCTTTTCTTTGGTAATTTCTTGCAGCGAGCTCTCCTTTTAACAGAATCACACAAGGCAGATCGCGTTCGTCTGAGTGAGTTTGAGTTAAACTTTTTTTCATAACAATCTGATATGCTAGAAGGAATTGAATCTTTGTTATTAGATACACTGGATGAGTTGGACTTAGAGCTAACAAAAATTGTAGATGACAGTGTTGACGATAGGATTGATACTGCAATTTGTTTCTCACTACTGGACAGGGTGTGAAGAGAACTTAGTAGGCCATCTAGCTGCAAAAGAAGAAATAATTTTCTTTTATTCCATCACAAAACGATTAACTCTATAGTATGGTATAAAATAAAAGATTAATAATTCAGAAATATAATAATTTATTGACACAATATCTTCAGATACACTGACTTTGCAATACATCATAACAAACATAGGCATTAAAGTAGGTATTAATGTCACTTATTTGCTTAAATCGCAAGTTGACTAAAAATTTAAGAGCAAAGAATAGTCCACAAAAACTCATATCTTTATAGAAAACGTTTTCTATAAAGATATGAATTTTTGTGGACTATTCTTTGCTTTTAAATTTTTAGTAAACATAGATATTATTTCAGTTTTTCAAATAGGATTAAATTTCATACAATAAAATTCATGATACTAAATTATATGCATGTTGACCAAAGGTGGCACTTACCTTAGACTTGAAATCATTAATGGCAGATGACATTATAAGGAAGATGTTTGGAGCAGCATTGTCTCATTGTGTTGCATTGGGTTTGATCTATAACAAAGAAAAAGGGTTAGTCTTATTTAATTTGCCTTATCACATTAGCAGTTTGAGAACTTATTAAGGAGCCTAAGTATGCACCAGCAACATTATGCACACCCAGAAGGGGCATCAAATTTCAGTAGGTACCATAGTGTTGCTGTTAGATCAATTACCTACTGTGTAGTATGCAGTAGTACCTATAGCAAATTTAACCTCTTGCCTCCTAATGGTAACACTAGCTACCAGGAATTTAGGTACAAATAGCATTGAAGAATTTAAATTTATATGTAAACAAAGAGTTTAATATTCAGAAGTCAAAATTGTAAGTGACACTTTACTAGAATAATCAATTAGAATTGGCAATGAAAATGAGTTTCAATCAATTGCTTAGATTGACAAAGAACATGGGCAATATATACATACATACATACAGTATGTATGTTTCAACCAAAGCTCTAGCCTTTGGGTTTTGACACAATGATTAATTGCTTCACACTGCTCACTATGGTCCTCAATTAGTCCACATTCATAAGCCTATTAATTAAGTACTACAAGTACCCAGCAGCACCAAAATCAATGTCTTCAGAAGATTTTACCAAAACATCTCTCTTAAATACTGTCAAATGGGCTAACATTGACCCTTTAAGTGTTGCATGAGCCCATGGATAATATTAGGTTGCACTGTGGTGTTATTAGGTGATGAGTTATCAACCCTAGGTGTTTCAAGCATCACTGGATAGGTGGCAGCCCAGGCTTGATAGTTGATATGTAGGTTTAACTCCAGGTTTCATTACTATACTCCAGTGCTGCTCCATCTTCACTGTGACTAAATTAAGAATTTTGTTCACTCAAAACTTTTTTTGTAAACATTAATTATTAAAGAGCTACTAAAAGTTAAGTGTGTAATGTGACATCTACCATTATTTCCAGTATTTCTGGTGTATAAAAGCTGTTATTTACAAAATATATAGGTTTATAATTCCATGGCTTTTTCTAACTTTTGTATCTATTTGCCCAATTATTTAGGAAAAACTTGATAGTATAAACAAGTTTCAAAAAGAAAACCCCAAAAAGTGCAACTTTTTGTTCGGATGAAGAAGATGCTGAAATGATATTAGGGTCAGATGGAAAAAAGGGAACTTTTTCTGATCAGGAAGGGGTACATTTTCTGAACTTTTCTTAACACTTGTGAAGTTGCCTTGCTTGTCATATTGCTTGAAAAGCACATGTAACATGAAACACAAGCTGAACTTGTACCAATAACCCTTTTTTACCCATATAAATTAGTTCTTTAAATTTTTCCAAGCAATCATTTTTTAATTTTGCAAGATGTCATGCGAACATCTAGCAAAAGATGTCCGCAATAAAATTAAAATGCGGAAATCAGTCCTTTCTAAAAAGTATCATAAAACAGTTAACTTATTTCTTTAGCTTAACTTGCCTGTTAAAGAAAAAGAGCAGCGGCTCACACAACTTCATCAGTGTTGGCATGGAATATATATATTGTTACAGCTGCAACTAGAGCATTTCCATAATTTTCTGAGTTGCAAAATCCCTGCAAGACAAATCATCTACTATCTAATTGTTAACTCTTTGATGCCCAGGTGTGTACGGTCAACTTTCAAATATGCTCTGTAATATTAATGTTGCGATCAGGAATTGGCATTAGCTGTTTAGGACATGTTTGAAATGCATCCTTGCTTTGTTCTGGCAATACAAATCTGCTCTTTGTTGCCAACTACGCAGTTCAGCACTGAACTTGTCAGGAATTAGTAGTGTCATCCACTTGCTGAACTTTCTTAATCTTTATTGAATTTTGGCACGAACATCAGGCAAGTTATAGCATTTAAATAATGCTATGTTTTTTTTCTAATACAACAGGGAATGCACATGCAAAATTTAATTACACAATAAAATTACATGCATATATCACACCTTGTTTCAGTACCTACTGTTGGACTTACAATTGCATTGTTTGAAAAATTGAAACACAACCATTGAGTTATGTTGTTCTTATGAACATGCAAGAATGGAATTGCTATGTATATATATATATAAAAGAATTGTGTTTGCAATACTGTTCTATAATTTGCCTTTATGCAATATTTTTATTACCAATAGTAAAAATATATTAAAGCACATGAATTTTTGACAAAAAATTTACATTGATTGAATGTATTTGTTTATGCCATGGAGATGCTGCCTATTTTTTTAAGCAGCCATAACTACAGGACTACTTGCTTTCCATTAACAGGTTTTACTCAATCACATGTTCATTTTTATGGCACATAAATTGTGTAAGCCATATTCAGAACTTTTTTGATGGTAGTTACTTCTCATAACACGGACTAATTCAGTTTGATCTGTCACCAAATTGCAAATACTGAACAAATTTTTTACTCAATTAAAAGAATTTGGTTGCTAAAGGGTTAACAAAACTGCATTACAGTATTCAGCTACACAATTCCAAATGTATCAAAAATTGGTCACTTTGGAGACACAAGATTTTATTTATAAGTATGAAAATTCCAATTAAGGATTAGTGGCATAAGTACCTACCTGCTGTGTGTTTGTTTTCTGAGCCCTGTGGGAGCAGCTACAATAGTACGGTACAACATAATAAAATTATATTCAGGGTTTAATCAAAATGACCTAATTTAATAAATTTGTATTATTTTAAGTATATATTCAAAATAAATATTTTATACCCCAATGGAAAGAGAAAAATTCAAAATCCTTTCCACATACATATTTTTAAATGCTCAATTTGTCCCCCTTGTGCGCAACAGCAAACATCTGAAGGGTAGCTAAACTTGTCCCACACACAAGAAAGCATATCTTCTGCTACTGAGTGCACTGCAGCAGTGATACGGTTTTTCCAATCAACCAAAGTTGCTGGTAGACCAGGTTGAGGCGGGATTTCCAACAGCTTCCTTGATAAAACTCCATAAAAAATAGTCACGAGAGATAGCAAAACATACATGGGAATAGTCACATGGGAAAGTGAAATAGTGACAGTGGATCACAAAGGCAGCTGGCTGGGGCAAGAACTCTAGAAGCCATTTTGGCAACTAATGCTGCCGCCAACAAATTCTGTGTTTCAATAGCTTAAAAAATTTTTAATCTTTCTCTTTCCATTGGTGTATAAATTATTTATAATTTATGCATGGTAGGTACTTATATAAATGCACATTCATTTTATTGGGTCTATCATATAGAATACCGCTATGCATTATGATTAATGCATAAGGTTCTATATAATGTTTCTATGCATTATGATTAAGAAAGTGAATGATGAAATATTTTTTTAACTAACTTTTGAATTAATTCAATTTAAAGGTTTGATTGAATTACTTTGAATTGATAACATTTAGCAATTCCATAAGAATGGTCCAGAATTCTTTCCAGGCTCCAGATCTGTGTGAATTATATTTATGGCACCATAAACTTATGTGGTAATACTTCTATAGTCCTATTTTAGATATATGCAAAAACCATGCCAGGATCACAACAAGGATACCTAGAAGGTGGACAGGCAGTTTTTGTTTCAGCACAAAGGAAGCATTTAGTTTTAAAAGTCCCACAAAACTGGCAGCTTAATTTAATTCACATGTGTTTGGAAACGAATGAAAAAAAACTTGAATTATGATAAACATGCTTAGAAAATGCTCTCAACATTTTGAAGCTCTGCAGTTGGGAGCACAATAATGGTAGAGGCTGCAACAAGACAAGTCCAATGCCCCTGTGAATGACAGCTGCAATGGCATTTGGTGATGCAGTACTACTAGTACAAGTATTATTACCGTAATTCATTATTATTATCATTATTTATCATTTATTATTATCATTATTTAAAATTTAATATCATCACTATTTATTTTTTATTATTTTTGTTATTTAAAATTTATCATGATCATTATTTATCATTAATTATTATCGTTTGCCTATCACTTACCTATCACTTACATAAAATTTACCTATCATTTTCCTAACATTCATCTATTATTTTAATATCATTTTCAGATTGTATAATGAATACATCAATAAACCCAACTGCTTCTTCATTTAGCATTTATTTATCATACATTTTTCATTTATTTATTATTCATTCATCATTTATTTATCATTCATTTATCATGGACTTATCAATTATTAATCATTTCTTTTTTATTTGTCATTTATTATACCATTTAATTATCAAACTGGAAATTTATCTGTTTAATTCAGCCTTTTTGTTAATTTATGACATTCATATCTATCAGTAACACAGGCTGGAACTCGTACCCATTTCCCCAATTCAGGGTGCAGAGGGTGCAAGCAGCGAACCAACCAAGATGTTTTTTTAGCCCAAAGCGTCGCCGGCATCTTCAAGATCCGTCGCCTGGTGATTTTTAATAAGAAAGTGCTGCAAGCAACTTTGATAGTATATCCCTTACTATCCACACATTGCAACACTTACACACAACGCAACTGATTTCCAGACAAGCTTCACTGCATCCTGATCCTTCCAGCATCCAGCATGCCAGAAACCTTACTTGTAGTGTATGCACTTGTGGTCTTTCAGATTTTCAGTAATTATGAAGTTATTTCACAAATGCTATAATTTCAATCCAAATGTGTCAGCAAGATCTTCAGAAGGCATATATTTTGCTGCCGATACGTTGCCAAAGATCTTACAATATGCACCCACTTTCTGCAGTGGCCCCCACCCACCTACACTCAAAGTCTCAACCAAAATGTTTTATTTTAGTTAGAAAAAATAGCCTATAACAAGAGCTTTCAAATGTACTAAAATCTTTGAAATTGGCTCATAGGAAACCTAGAAAGATAGTGCTTCCAAAAAAAGTGCCAAAAAATTATCCATTTTTGGGACGTAATTGAATAAAGGAAAACTTTTTTAGCTTTTTCACTTTTATTTGTACTCCCATCAAATTTATATATTTTTCTATATATTTTTTTCTTTTTGGATGTATAATTTTCATTGCAGTGCAGTCAAAGAAAAAAATTTGTGT